GGGTATTGTGTCGCAGCGATGAGGAAAGTGACTGAGGCACCATCTATAAAATAGGGACGGTAAAGCCCCATCCAAGCCGCTGGTTGAGGGCCAAGCCCAGACATGGAGCCCACAGGCAGCCCTTCCCATCCTCCACTTTCCTCCAGAGATGGTGGCACAGTTCCACCCATCAGAGCCATCAAAACATCACACCTCACCCCAGAGGCGGAGTCGGAACCCATCAGCTTTGTGAGTGGGGAAACTGAGGCAAAGCGAACCCAGGTGTCAGAAGCTGCGCCCAGACAGACCCCAGAGCTGCAGCTCTGGTTGAGCTGTTACTTGGGGCAGAGCTTTAGCCTCAGGACTCAGTTTCTACGCGTGTCTGAGGCTGAGTGTCTGATGTCTCCATTGGGATGGGCCTGGGCCAGCAGCACAGGATGCCGAGAGTCACCCTACCATTCAGGAGGCCTCGGAAATGCCTCTCCAAAGTGCTCGGCAGGTGTGGCTGCCCCTGCTGTCAGGACCTTTGGGTTCAGCCCTTTTCACCAGAAGGTAGGGACAGACTGCACCCTGGACAGTGAGTGGCGGGGGCTTAGCTGACCAGAAGCCGGGTGGGGCAGGGGCAAGGTTGGTAGAGGCAGGTTTGAAACAGGGAGCTTTAGAGCTGATTAGGACTGAGCCTGTAGGGGTCAAGGGGAAGCCAGAGGGGAGCCTGGAGAGGTGGGGGCAGGGCTCCCAGGCTTCTCCAGTGACCAGGCACTTGGGGCTGGCCCGGCTTGCTGGGCAGGTGCTGGGCATCAAAGAAGCTTAACAGGCTTCTGAGCATTAAATTTCTGGTTGCCCTTGACCCACCTGGGCACCTTCTTACCTCCTAGCTTAGCTAGGAGCAGCTCCTGGCCCATGAAAACACAGACCCACTACCTGGAACTCTATCATCCTTAGCAGGGGACTCCTTAGATCACACGAATGAGGCATAATCCTAAGGCCCCAGTGACCTTGCATGGGGACAGTTCCCTCCTCTGAGTCTCAGTTTCCCCATGGTAAAATGAGAGGTCAATCTATATTTTTTCTGACAAATCAAATTAGAATGGCCTTGGGAATATTTGTAATTGTTTACATTTATGAAGCATTGAAAAATCTGTTTCTTGATTAGAAAACAAATATATGCTCATGTTAGCAAATTTAGAAAATACAGAAGAGTCAAAGACAGGAGGAAAGATCATCGGTAACCCAACATCTTCTGCCAGGCTGGCCCCCAGCTCCCAATCAGGCCTGACACGAATGAGGCAGGAGGCGCTTCAGACCTTCTGTTCTGTGAACCTGTCACCCCCTCCACTCTCTGGGACGCTTCACAGCCTGTTTCCAAGTCATCATTTCGGAACCAGAGGCCCAGGCTGACTCATCTGCTATTGCAGGTGGAGCCAGGCAGGACACCCCCGTACTGGGTCAGAGCCAGGGTCTGAGCAGAGCCAGTACCCTGCCCACCTCCTCTGATGGTACCTCCCACAAGGGCAGTGGTTAAATTAGAGCTACCCACCATGGAGGGCTCCAAACCACGTGGCAGAAATATTTTTGGGAAATTTTTTTCTTCCCTAAGATTCAGATTGTTGGAGCTATAAGTTCATGTTGTTTCTTTAGTTCCTTTCAATTTTAAAAGACAATAAATTTTAAAAAGTGGAAGCCTATGAGTCTTTCATGCCTCCTTGACTCTCATCCTTTGGCAGTGGAACTTTCTGCACTTGCTCCACTGTAAAAGGTTTTCAGGATGAAAATCTCATTTTCCTATTGACTAGAAACTAAAATCAATTATTTTTTAAAAAACATTTCATTGAGCTGCAGGTATAGTTCAGTGGTAGAGTGCTTCCCTGGCATGCACAAGGCCTTGGGTTTGATCCTTCGTACCACAACAAAAATAAAATAAAATAGCAGTTTACATTTGTGTAATTATTATGCAACTTAAGGAAACCTATCAAGCCAAGAACTTTACCACCAGCAGCTGGCTAAGGTGTGGGGTGTCCTCCCAGGCCACAGTGCCCGCAGGTGCTGGGTCAGGCAACTAGGGGCTTAAGGAAGACCTCTTTCGTGACTCGGTACCTCAGCTAAACACTGAGCCCAGGCCAGGCCCTCCCCTTCCCCTGGAAATCTCTGGCAGCACATGTGATACCCATTTTTCAGAGCAGATGCTGATATCCAGGGCTTCCCTGCCTCCCTGGATTCTTCCCTACTGCTTCTCTCATCCAAAGAGCTCACTGAGATAGTCCTGCGTGCTCCTAGACACAAATCAAGACCTGGGGAGACTGTGGCTTCCACCAGGTCCCAGGCTCTGTGCCTGACTCCTGCCTCCCATGACGGCAGCCCACACTTTTCTTCCAGCCTCCTCTGCTTCTACCAGGGCAGAAATGACACAGGCTGAGGAGGCCTTGAGCGCAGTGACTCAGGATGTGTCTGCCCAGGCACAAGATCAAGGAGGGCTCCCTAGAAGAGGAGGTTAAAGCTTGCAGGGTGAGGCATAGCCCAGGAACTGCTCCTATGGGTCTAGACATGGAGAATCTGGGGACCCAGAGCTCTCTGCTCCAACCTGAGCTTGATGTCACAGTCTACAGTCTCTTACTAACCTGGGAGACTCTACCCCTCGGGTGGGAACTTTAAGGCTCAGAGCAAAGGCACCAACTCTGCCCAGAGGGGCAGGAGGCCCATCTGTCAAGGTCCCCTCCCTGCAATAGCAGTCTATTGTCATTGGTGTGCTGGCACCTTTCCCTCTGTGGCCCTCGGTTTCCCTCCCTGCATGTGTTTGGGGTGGACATGCCATAGCAGAGGTCCCAGAAAAGACAGACAAACAGCACAGACTGGGGCTCAAATAAGCCACTGGCCCACCTCCAGATCCTTCTGCTGCTTCTGAAGATGGCTTTGGTGGCAAGGGGATGTTCAGGCACAACAAGGTGTACTGCTTCCTGCAGAATGTGACAGAGTCCTTGGGCCAGCACTGCTCTCCTAACAAGACGGATGGGGGCCCAGTGCCACGCACCTGAACATTCAGAAATGCACATGGAGCTGCAGTTGCTCAGGCGAACATGCTCTGTCCCCTTGAGACCTCCTGTCAGGGACTGAGCTGCACATGTTGAAGTCTTAACCTTCCGGACCTGTGAATATGACTTTATTTGAAGATAGGGATTTTTTCAGATGTAATCAAGTTAAGAGGAGGACATGGGGGTGGGCCCTACCCTGGTCCAATATAACCTGTATCCTTTAAGAGGAAATGAGGCCAGCACTGGGGAGGCTGAAGCAGGAGGATCTGTGACTTCAAGGCCAGCCCAGGCTACTTAGTGAGTTCAAGGTCAGTCTGAACTACATAGTGAAACCCTGTCTCAAAAAGCCAAAAAAAGAGAAAAAAAGGAAATGAAGCCCAGAGAGATAAGTGCACGGGAGAGTGCTGTGGGAAGATGGGAATGGACAGAGAAAAATGCTCCCTTGAAGCTTTGGAGAAATGCAGCCCTTCCCACACCCCGGTTTCTAACTTCTGGCCTCTGGAGTGGTGAAATTATACATTTTGTTCTCAGACACTCTGTGGTCCTTGGTTAGACAGGTCTTAAATGGTCAGGTGGAACTTCTGGAGTCCTGAGCCACAAAGTGATAGTGTGGGAGTCAGGTGTAGTGGAGCATACCTGTAATCCCAGCATTCAAGAGGCTGAGGCAGGAGGATCACAAGTTTGAAGCAAGTATGAGTTACAAAGTGAGTTCAAGACCAGCCTGAACTACACAGTGAGACCCTGTCTCAAAAAACAAACGTGGTGGTGTGGGAAGTAAAAGCTCCAATACATTCAATAATCCAAGGGCTGCCCCAGGCCTTCCCTCCCACCCTGTCTCCAGACCTCTAGGTAGCGGCTCTCCCCTTGGAGTGCATGGGTGGAGGGCACCCAGGTAGGAAGCTACACAAGCCCAGGTGGTGGGCTCAGGGCCATTTGGCAGGGAATTCTGGGCTCCCAGAGTGTGGTCCGGAGGAGGCTGGGGTCACTTGTGGATGATCCTGTGCTTTCCGATGTGGCAGGGGCAAAACAAACCTCGATGGAGACAGGGGAGGAGGGGAGCCCCTCATGTGTGGTAATGAACCTCAGATTTTGCCGGCTCAGAGAGAAGAGGCCAGGCGGGATGTCGGCCTTCCCAGGATCCTGTTCCATGCTGCACCATAACATCACACTCATCAGTCTCCTGCTTGCTCTGCAAGCCAGCCCTGCCAGCCTGGGCCATCTCCCTCGGCTCCCTGACCACCACCTCCTCAGACCACCCTGGGATTCCAGCTGTCCCTGGAGCTGCCAAGCACACTCCCACCTCGGGATCCTGGTGTTCCCCCAGGTCCGCCCTAACCTCCCCTGCTCCCAAGCTTTTCCTGAGGAGCGCCCAGGCCAGGAGTATGAGGCACTCTCCCTTGGTGGTCATCACAAAGGGCTCCCCTTGCGCACGCAGCTGCTCGGGGTCAGAGGGAGAGGAAGAGGTGGATTACAGCTGTGGTCCCAGTGGGGCCACCCACGGGCTGCTGCGGGTGGATCTGGGCAGGAAGGGGTCAGCCAGCAGGGACCTCCAGGGCTGTGTGTGGCCCTGGAGTTTGAGTCCTGCTCTCAGCAAGGACTGCTCTGGGCTCTTCGAAGGCTCTGCCTCCCAGTGATAGCCAGGGTCCTGAGGAACAGGGCTCAAGTAAGCCACCGTGGTGGGGAGAGGAGATGGGAGGGACGGGGAAAAGGGTGTTCTCTCTCTGTGCTCTGGTAAAAACCATACTGTGAAACAAAACAAAACATATATATAAACACCTAGAAAACCTATTGGGAGCGGAGGTGGAAAGTACAGGGCCGGATGGCCCTGGTGAGCATCGGGCCAGGGCTCCTTCGGCTCCTACTAATCCGGACTCCCGCCCCCGCCTCCAAAGGCCTGGCCCCGCCCCATGCGGTAGGCGGGAGGCCAGTGCACAGCCCCGCGCCCTTGGGGCGGGCCCAGGGTGTGCCACGCCCCCGATTAGGCCCCGCCCCGTCCCCCCAGCAGGCCGGGCTCTCCTCCTCGAAGCGCGCAAGATGCGCGCGGCGGCTGTGAACCCCAGCCGCAGAGCGAGGCTCCGGGTTCGGGGCGGGAGCACCACGCCTGCCCCAGGGAACCGCACAGGTGAGGGCCGGGGTCGCAGGACCCTTGGGGGGCTCTGCGCTCATTTCACAGACCAGGAAGACACCTTCCCACCCGCCCGCCAGTGCCACGGGCGCCCCGTCACACACGTTCCGCGACGGTAGCCCAGCCGCGGTCACCCGCGGAAGTCAGGGTTGGCGTCCCCTGGCGGGGCCAGCTGGGGCGCCCTCTCCGCCGGGCGGTGTCATCTTCGGGCTTCCCTGGTGAGCCCCCCTAGAACCACTTTACAGATGGCGAAACTGAGTCTGCAAGAGAGGAATGTCTGCTAGGGTTGGCGGAGTCTGCGGTTGACCGAGGCGCTCAGAAGCTCTGAGGTCTCTGGAAGGAGGGAAGCTGGCTTATACTTTTAAGTGTATGAGTTCAAGAATGTGCTAAAGAAGTTTCACCTCCGCTGCTCAAGGTTCTGGGGTTCGAACTCCGGCTTTGTTCCGTGAATGCGTTAACATCTGACTCTTTCGGAAACGCCACCCAACCGGAGCACTGCCTCTCTCACGTCCCGCAAGAGCACTTGGGTGGCAGCTGCCGGGCGGGGCTGGACCTGAGGGTGACTCCGCCGGCTGGGCTTAGCTCTGTACTGGAGGAAGCTGCAGTCTGGAGATGGGATCTGGTTCCTGCTCAGCACTGCAGAAGCTGAGCCAAGCCCTGGTGTGTTTAGTTTGATATCCTTCACTTCCTAGCCAGATGCCCAGGATCCCGAATTTGATGCTCTGGTCAGAAGTGCTTTTCTCTGGGTTTGAGGAGGCCATCCGGCATCAGACGTCGTTTGGGTACTCACACAATTGAGTCCCTTCCCGGATAGCAGCTTGAGGAAAGGGTTATCTAGGGCCAGGAGGGTAGAGGGATTTGCCAAGGTCAGACCAAGGCCAGGGAGTGGCTGGAAGTGCTGACACTTTGCATACAAAAGAGTGTTTTCGAGGACTCTCAGTAGGGGGTCTCTGGATTGTGTGGTGGGGCCCCTGAGAGAGCTGCTTCCTCTCCTCTCCCTGGATAACTGCTGGGTCTCAGCCTCTCTGAGCACTTCCCAGACATGAAGCCCCTTTTTGGAGTTCAGGGTGACAATCCCCTTATTGACCTCCGTGATCACCCCACCTGTGCCTCAGTTCCCCATGTGCTAAGTAGTGGGCTGTGTATAGCTGCTCCCAGGCTGTGGACTGGCCAGGTGTAGTCTAGGGAGGGCCCTTGTCCTGCCAGTGTATCCATCACCTGAACTCCATCACCCCTGCCATGCAGCCTTAGTCTCTCTGCTGTGAAGTGGGCAGTGCAGTGCAGGGATGGGGCTTGGGGTCCTTTAACGACAGGCTGGCATTGTCTAACACTCAGCTAACCCACTGTACTGAGTTTCTGTTGGTTGAGAGGCTGGGCCCTTGCCCTGATGCCAAGGCAGCCCCTGCACTCCCTAATCTGGGAAGTTGTCCAGGAACGCAGGGTTCTAGCAGCTGGGTCTAACCCCAGGCCATGCCCAGAAGGGACCTTGGAGGGTCCAGAAAGGGAGAAAGCAGGATGAATCTTCTGTTGGCTTTACCTCTGCAGCCACAGAGCTGGGCTGTGCCCACTGAACAGAGGAGAAACTGAGGCCCAGTGCCAGTGAGTGTGCGAGGCTTGCCTACCCCTCCAGACTGGCTATGCCTCCTGTCACCAGGGTGCTTGCAGTGCTGCTGGATAAGAGGCATGGCTCTCTAGAGCTCCAGTCCTTCCCCAACCCAGGGATTTGGGGGAACACTTTTCCTCTGTTGGATTTATCCCAGCCTGGGCCACCCACGATATCAAGGACTCTGAAGCCTGTACCCATCCTCCATGGGGAGGTGGGCTCAGAGAGGGAGGGTGACTTGCCTGAAGACACACCCAGGGGGGTGGGCCTCTGACGCTTAATGTTGGGGCCACATGTCTGCTGCTGGGGTCTTTGGGATCCTGCTCTCTGAGAAATCCCTCCTGAGGTGCCTACTGCGCGTTTGGGGAAACAGACCCAAGGTGAGATCACACAGGGACAAACACTGGCAGCTGCCAAATCCTGGTGAGGCTGGGCACAGTGGCCTGCCCAACCCCTCACTCACAGTCTCTGCCAGCATAAAAGGGAGCTTATTTTAAAGGTCAGGATGCGGGGGGCCATGTGTGCTGCAGGAAGGACAGAAGAGGCTGGACCCTGGTCCAAGGTTCCAGATAAAAGATTAACAAGCAAGGATCTTTCCCAGACACGGGGCTGGCATCATGAGCTGGGTACAAGGGCTGAAGGATGGGCCCCTGCCAGGTCAGGCCATGTGCCCCTGGGTGCCCAGCAGTGGCAGATGGGCTGAGCAGAGGTGTCAGGTGGGGATAAAGCCTTCAGGACTCATGGGCCCTGCTGGGACCCTCTGTCCTTACCACCATGCTCTGAGCCAGGGCAGGGTCAGGCTGGGGCCTTGTGTTTCTCTTTTGTTTCTTATATGCATTCAACCCAGTCACTTCATTTTCCCTGCTGTTTTTCTTCTCCTTGAAGATTTTTTCTACATAGTGAAAAAAGGGGGTCTTACAAGTGCCCTAGTAAAAAATGCTCTAGATCTGGGCCCAGAAAACAAGGGATCAGAGCACAGACCCCATCAAGGGGTGGGGACATGCAGGGCCCAGTGTCCCTGGGAGAACTGTGGGTAGGGCTGGAAGACAAGACAACACTCCAAGCTTGGCTCTACACCTCTTAGAGCCAGGTGTTTTCACAGGCACATGGGGTCTTTCAAAAATACCAGGGGTGGGCCGGGCATTTAGCTCAGTGGTTCCACTGCCTGCCTCACAAGCGCAAGGTCCCAAGTTCGATCCCCAGTACCAAAAAGAAAAAACAACAACAAAAATACCAGGGGAGGGGCTGTCCCTGCAGTTGGACACTTTAAACAGGGAAGGCACAGGTGGGATTTGACTCTGGGGCTGCAGGGGCTGAGTGGGGGGCCATGAGCCTCCAGGCTATGGTGGGGGGGGATCGATGAGTCTCCAGGCTTTGAAGGGTCAGTGGGAAGTAGCCATTGGCCTTCAAGCTCTAGGGGTTCAGTGAGGGGTGGCCAGGGGCCTCGGGCAGGTCTGTGGGCTTCAGCTTCCTCATGTAGAAAATGGGCTTAGCCCAGAGGAAGACTTTAGTAGCCTTTTGGGCCCAGGGATGGGTACAAAGACACTGATGGTCTGGTGCATGGAGGTCCCTGGGCACCGTGGACTGAGGAGTTGGGGCCTGGGGGATGGAGGTCCCCTGGGTGCTATGGACTGGAAAGATGGGGACCTGGGAGGGGGAGTGGGTGCTATGAACTTAGGAGAAGGGGACATGGGAGGTAAAGTTCTCCCAAATGCCACAGAATTGATGTCTTGTGTGCCTTGTGATGCTTGGGACATGGCTGAATTTCCCACCTGTGCAGTGATCCTGTGTGCCAGCTTTAAGGTGTTCATGATTCAGTCTCACACCTCCTGTAACTGGAGAGTAGGTCACAATAGGTTGTGCAGATAGGGAACCCTGAGGGAGGTAAGGAATTGCCTTGGACATGGATGCTGCAAAGTGTTCAAGTCAGGATCAGACCAAAAATCTTGGGGTGGGGAGGGCCTGGGGCCTCAGGAGAATTCCCAGCCTGGGCTTTGCTCCCTGTGGCCTCCAGCCAGTGACTTGGATTTGCTGCACCTCGTTTAGCAGATGGATTAAAGGAAGTTGAGCCTCCTGGCTTCCCTGGGTAGAAGGTGCCCGGAGATACATAAGGGGGCGGGGCTGATCCAGCCCTGGTCACAGGCTCCCCCACTGTGGCTCCTTTCCCCAACACTTGCATTTTATTTTTAAAGGAGGAACTATTCCAGCAATACACTTTAGGGCTGGGGCTTTCTGCCTGGTGAGGCCCCTGGATGACTGGCTAGAGAGGCAGAGTCTGATGCCAAGGTCCAGACTCAGAGTGAATTTAAAGCCCCTCCTCTTTTTGAGTCTCTTAGAAGCTACTGTGGTTCATCCTCTATCTCCCTGGGTCCTCCCAACCTCAGGCACAAGCCCCTTCTATACAGCCTGCCCATGCAGTTACAGGACCGGTATCTACTTTATTGGGCTTTTGCTCCAAACTGGTTTGTGCTTTTTTTTTTTTTCGTACCAGGATTGAACTTGGGACTTTGCGCTTGTAAGGCAGGCAGCGGAACCACTGAGCTAAATCCCCGGCCCCTTGGTTTGTGCTTTTACTAAACTCTTTTTTTGTTTGTTTGTTTGGTTTGGGTTGGGTTTTTTGAGACAGGGTCTCACTATGTAGTTCAGGCTGGCCTTGAACTCACAGTGATCCTCCTGCCTCAGCCTCCCGAGTGCTGGGATTACTGGCATGCAACACCATCTCTGTCTTATTTAACTCTTTAATGTGAAGCTACATCCTGGGTTTCTTACAGACCAGTGGGATGGCACTAGTGGGTCCACTTTCTTTGGCTGTGACTGATGACTTCACCCTTCATCCCCCACATCAGCGAGGCTCGATGACAGGCAGGAAGTCTATGCTTTAAGATGCGTGGCCTCTGGGTTGTGGATGGTAAGCATCATGCGGTGTATCTCAGGCCTGCAGTTGCTTCTAAGAACGAGTAACCCCCCCCCACACACACACATACAGAGCAGAACTTGGCCACAGAGCACAGGATGTGGCTGCTGACAGAGTGCAAACTAGTCCAGACATCTCTGGGCCCCACTCTCTCTCACCCCTAGGTCTACGCTGGTCTAGGATGTGCTTAGGGGAAGTCGGTGATAGTGGTTTCCTTGCTAGGGCAGTAGTCCTCTCATCCAGTCTTCATCCACCCTGCCTGGTGGGGCATTAGCAGGTGGGATGCAGGCCCATGGCAGGAAGTAACCAGGATCTTACTGGTAAGACTCTGATGAGGCCTGGCCAACCCTCAGCCCAGATCTTCTGGCTTCAAGGCGGAACCTGGCTGCCTTAGGGGCACAGAAGGCCGTGGCCCATCAAGTCCTCTTGGTGGACCTGTGGCAGTGGTTAGCATGTCTGGCCCCAGGATGGAGTTGCACA